AGAGGGGATGGCCGCGCCGTAGTCCTTTCCCCTCCATTCTCCTCTTGGGGTTTTGGGCACGCACACTCACCTGGCATGAGTTTCAAACCTCTGGGCCTGGGACTCAAACTGTGGCCGGCCATGCAGGAGTCCAGTGCCCTAACCACCACACCACCTGCTGGCCCCTCTGAAGTCTTTCCCAAGCTGCTGATCAGGAACTCGAACTGCGGTGGGCCATGTGGGATCCATCATGCGGTCTTCACCACCATGCCACCGGCTGGCTCCCCCCCAAGTGCCATTTATGATTTGTAGTTGAACCATCTGTCATGACATCCCCAAACTGTCGCTATGAAGAGACTAGGAAGGGTGTGGGCAGACTCAAGGCAGGGGTGCAGGACTGGAATGTGTCAAGAAAGGGGCCAAGGGGCCCTGGCCCTGGGATCAGCGCCCCTGGCCATGGGATCAGCGCCCTGGCCGTGGGATCGGCACCCCTGGCCTTAGGATCTTCCCGGTCCCCCTCGGGTGCGCCTCCGCCAGCTTTAAGCCCAACACCAGCTGTCACAGCAGCACTCTCCTCTCCTGTTTCCCACTGATGCTCTCAGAGGCTGAGCTGAGGTTGGGGTGGGAGGGGCAGGAAGCATCGCCTGGGGCAGCCTCAGACGTCACCAGCCAATTCTGATTCTTCTTTTCTCTTTTGCTTTTTCCAGCTACCATCAAACCACCTGACGTGACCTGTATCCCCAAAGTGAGATCCATTCAAATGATCATCCATCCTTCCCCCACGCCTGTCCTGGCAGAGGATGGCCACCGGCTGACCCTGGAGGACATCTTCCCCGACCTGTTCTTCCGCCTGGACCTCCAAGTCAACCACACCTACCAAATGGCAAGTGTGTGTCTCCCCCGGCCCTTGCCTGCCGGGAAACCCCTCTCTCTAGCCATCTGCGTTTTAAGTACTGGGTCCTCGGGAAGTCATTTTTTGCATATACATTTTTGCATAGAAAAATATGTCATGACGTTCCCGGCAACCTAATAGAAAGGAGACGTATTACAGAAATGAGCGTTTCCCACATTGCGTTCCTCGGGACGTTCCTGGAAGCCTGGCAAATGTCGCGGCCCACAGCCTCTTCTGACCCGTGTCAGCCCACACACACGGCAGCATGCAAAGGCACTGGCAAGGCCCGCAGAGCCGACTAGTTTCAATTTGTCTCATCGATTTCTCTCAAAATTTGGACAGAAAAGCTCCTTTCCTTTTTCTTTTGGCATAAGATAGACTTTATTTGTTGCCTAACTCAGCAGCTTGAAAATTACAACAAATAAATGGACAAATAATTAAATATTTTTTTAAAAAAAGCCAAGGGCATAAATGACCCAGCAACATACAAATTACTGCTTTTTAGACTTAAAAAGTATGTGGCATTTTCCCTGTGGTATGTGCCACTGAATGAATGTTTTTCCCCTACTCCGTGGTACCTGCACTCAGAGAGCTTGTAACCTAGGGGGAGGGCGGGAGTTAGAACAAGAATCGAACTGCCTGCCTCTGCAGGGAGAGGGAGCCGAGGGCGTTGGGGGTGGGGCAGATCACCAGCGCAGCAAGTTCTAGAAGACTTGCAGGAAGCTTCCCGGTGACCAAGCCAGCTCCCGAAGTATGCCAGGTCCGACGCCCATACCGAGTCCCCTTCACCACAGCCCCGTGAGCCACGTGCTACTCTTCCCGTTTCCCAGATGAGAAAGCGACTCAGAGAAAGTCGGTCACTTTACTGTTGAGCAAGTGATAGCACAGACAGGGTTCCAATCCGATTCTTTCAGAGCCCTCTGTCTGCCTCCACTGGCCTAGCTGCCCACCCTGGTCAAAAAGAGCAGCAGAAAAACCTAGGAGAGTCTTAGAAAGGCACACAAACTGGCCAGCGCACAGAGACTGCGAAGCTGTTTCTCAAAACAGCGTCCCAGGGACCAGCAGTTAGCATAATGGCTATGTCGCTGGACTCCCACGTAGTCGACCGCGGTTCGAGTCCCGGACCCGCTGGCTTAAACTCACACCAGGCGCGTGAGCGTGCATGCGTGCCCAAGATCCTGAGAGGAGAATGGAGAAGAAGGGATTGTGGCGTGGCCATACCCCCTGGGGGGTGATGTGGTGTGGCCATCCCCCCGGGGGGTGATTTGTCGCTTTCTGTCTCTCTGTCTCTCTCTGTCTGTCTGGTGAGCGCATGCGCCCTATAGCAAAAACCTCTTAAAAACAAACAAACAAACCAAAAAACCACAAACAAACAAACAAACAAAAAAACCAGCGTCTAAGACTAGCAACATCAGAATTCCCCACAGTGCTCACTCAGAAGGCAGGCTCTCAGGCTCCCCCCGACCTGCCGAGCCAGTGTTTACAGCTGCATTCCCTGGGACCTGAATTTCAGTGGGCAGCCTGCATGCTTCCTCCCCACCCTGAGGTTTGAGAACCCGGATGCCGAGGAGCCCTGTGAAGTGCAGCGCTGAGGCTAGAATAGTTCGTATGTATTTCAGTAGCTGGGGTGTGGGCGGGGCTTACTGAGCGAGAGCGGGCCTTATCACAGCGATTTGGGGTAAATATTTGAGGCTTTCTTAACATGTTATAGTTATTGATCTGTAATTTACTGAGTTTGTAGTCAGAGAATGGACGCCGTGTGATGTCAGCCTTTTATTTATTGAAGTTTGTTTTATGGCCCAGCAGATGGCCCGTCTTGGCGAATATTCCTTCCGTACTTGAAAAGAACGTGTGTTCCGCAGTTGTTTGGTGGAGTGCTCTACAAATAGCAATTAGGTAAAGGTGGCCGATGGTGTCACAGAGATCTCTTAAGTTTTACTTGATTTGGAGAAGGGACCTATTCTTTATTGCTTTAATTTCCTATAGGGCCCATGTGCTCACCAGGGAGACAGAGAGAGGCAGGGAAAGTGAGAAAGCACCCTCAGAGGGGATGGCCACACGGCAGTCCCTGCTCCTCCAGTCTCTTGGGATTTGGGGCATGTATGCACACATGTCTGGCATGAATTTTAAGCCACCAGGTTCACGATTCAAAGCACAGTTGGCCATGTGGGATCCAGCTGCTTTCTCTTCCATGCTACCTGCTGGCCCTAGGCCCGTTGTTTTTGGTGGTTGTTGTTGTTTTAAGAGAGATTTTTGCTATAGGGCATGTGTGCTTGCTAGAGAGACAGTGAGACTGAAAGTGAGAAATCACACACGTTCTCCCCCCTGGGGAGATGGACATGATACAATCCCTCTTCCTCTTGGGATTTCAGGCACGCACACACACGTGCCTGGTGTGAGTTTCAAGTCACCAGGGTCTGGGGCTCAAACCACAGTCAACTACACAGGAGTCCAGAGACATAACCATTAAACCATGGCTAGTCCCAGGCCTGTTGTTCTTTTAACTGCTGGGAGTATTAAACTCTCCGATTATGATTGTGGACTTATCTGGCTTCCCCTTTAATTCTAGGCATTGTTGCTTCATGCATTTTGAAGCTTTATTATTAGATATATACATTTATGGGGACCAGCAGATGGCGTAATGGCTATATCGCTGGACTCCCATGTAGTCAACCGCGGTTCGAGTCCCAGACCCGATGGCTTAAACTCACGCCGGGCGCATATGTATGCAGGCTCAAGATCCCAAGAGGAGAATAGAGGAGAAGGGACTGTGGCATGGTCATCCCCCCTGGGGGGTAATTTCTCGCTTTCTGTCTCTCTGTCTCTCTCTGTCTCTCTGGTGAGCGCACACGCCCTATAGCAAAAATCTCTCTCTCAAAAAAAAGATAAATACATTTATGATTGCAGTATCTTCTTGATAACTTGACCCTTATCGTTATAAAGTGTCCCCTTTTATATCTAGTGATACTCTCTGTTGAAATATACTGTGCCACCATCCAGCCCTCTTACAGTTTGTGTGTGGTATATCATCTTACATCCCTTTTCTTCTTTTTGGAGAGGTTTTTGCTTTAGGGCACGTGCACTCACCAGAAAGACCAACAGAGAGAGAGAAAGTGAGAAATCACCCCCCAGGGGGGATGGCCACACCACAATCCCTTCTCCTCCATTCTCCTCTTGGGATCTTGGGCACGCACGCACACGTGCATGGCGTGAGTTTAAGCCATGGGGTCCGGGACTCAAACTGCGGTCGACTACATGGGAGTTCAACAACATAGCCATTATGCTAACTGCTGGTTCCCTTCCCTTTATTTTCAACCTATGTCTTTCTATTTAAAATGTACCTTTTGTAGACAACCTTCTGACAGTCTTTATCTTTTTTTAATTGAGATAATTCACATACCATAAATTTCACTCTTTTAAAGGATACAGTTCAAGGTCCACCCTCGTGGGCTGGGCAGAACTGGGGTAACAGAGCTGCAGAGCTGGGAGCCACATCACAGTTCTGAGCCCAGGGTTGACTTGAAAACATGCTGGGCAGGTGTGTGCATGGGCGCCCAGGACCTGAGAAGCTCGAGTGCTGAGGAATAGAGCTGTGGTGGGACGAGACCCTGTGAGGGGCTCCTCTCTTCTCCGCTCCCTTTCTCTTACATGCACTGTCCATTATGAATAAAACAAACGCTCTCACAAGTAATTCAAAGGTTTTTATTGGGTTGTCAGAAAAGTCATGATGTATTTTTTCTTTTTATTTTAAAGAATTATTTTATTTAACTTTATTTATTTATTTATTATTTTAATTTGCCCGGGGAGAGAGAGAGAGAGAGAGAAAGCCACCGGGTTCGGGAATCGAACCACAGTCGGCCATATGGGAGCCTAGCACCCTTAATCACCAAGCCACCTGCCAGCCCCACATGATGTATTTTTTCTATGAAAAAAATGCACCGTGACTTTTCTGACAATGCAACAGAATACTCACAAAGTTGTGCGATCATCGTTACTAATACTCTCTACCCTATTGACCTACCTTCAAGTTCTCTACCTCTCGTGTCATTTCCAGTCTGTTGTTAAGATCATTCAGGGACTATTTATTTCAGGCATTGTATGTTTCAGTTCTGAAGTTTCCTATTTTAATAGTTTTTTGTATTACACTGAAATTTCCTATTCTTTCATTCCTTGTGAGCATATTTTCATTCGCTTCCTTGCACATAGTTAGACTGCTGTTTAAAATCATTATCTGCTCATTCCAACATTTCGGTCATCTCGGGCTCAGTCACTATTGATTGTCTCCTAATTCTGGGCTGCATTTTCTCTTTCTCTGTATGTCTATCGATTTTGAAATGCATCCTACACATTACAAATGCTATATTGAAGCGACTCTGGATTCTGTTATATTTCTCTAAAGAGCATCTGTCATCTGGTTAAGGGCAAGGTTTCTCTCAAGGTTTTAACCACCCCGCAGGTGTAGACCGTGGTCTTCAGTCTAAAAGACATAAAAAGGGGGAAATTCACCCAATGCCACCCCCTTTCCCCCCCTCTCTAATATCTGCCTGCTTCTGTTTACTCTCCAATGCCCTTAGGGAGTTATTCTTCATTTTGGTCAAAACTTACAGCTGTTCACTTTGGGAGAATTGGTTCCAAAAAAGCCAAAAATTACTAGAATTGAAATGAAGAAAGATCAAATGTGGAAATGGGAGCGAGATGTGGGCAGGAAATCAGGGGATTACTGGGATGACATGAAACGGAAGTAGTGAGGACCTGGATCAGGGAGAAGGCGGTGTAAAACTCGGGAAGGGAGGAGTCGTGGGGCCGCGGCAGGCCCCCTGGAGCTGTAGCACAGATGTTTGACATGTGCGAGTTCCACAAAACAGCACGTTGGGAAATCCACCTATGCACACTTTCCTGCCCTCTTTCACACTCTCCCCACACGCGTATGGACAAATTACCCTAAAAATTAACATCTATGTGCCTAGAAAAGGGACGCAGGGGGCCTGCAGGTGGCATGGTGGTTAAAGCACTGGATTCCCATGTGGATGGCCGTGGTTTTAGTCCTGGACCCACTGGCTTGAAAAATAATGCCAGCTGCATGTGCGTGCGTGCCCAGGATTCTGAGAGGAGAATGGAGGGTGGTTTCTCACTTTCCCTCTCTTTCTCCAGTGAGTGCACACACCCTATGGCAAAAACCTTTAAAAAAAAAAAAAGGTGGGGGGAGTCGATTTTAATTTGCCCGGGGAGAGAGAGAGAGAGAGAGAGAAAGCCACCGGGTTCGGGAATCGAACCACAGTCGGCCATATGGGAGCCTAGCACCCTTAATCACCAAGCCACCTGCCAGCCCCACATGATGTATTTTTTCTATGAAAAAAATGCACCGTGACTTTTCTGACAATGCAACAGAATACTCACAAAGTTGTGCGATCATCGTTACTAATACTCTCTACCCTATTGACCTACCTTCAAGTTCTCTACCTCTCGTGTCATTTCCAGTCTGTTGTTAAGATCATTCAGGGACTATTTATTTCAGGCATTGTATGTTTCAGTTCTGAAGTTTCCTATTTTAATAGTTTTTTGTATTACACTGAAATTTCCTATTCTTTCATTCCTTGTGAGCATATTTTCATTCGCTTCCTTGCACATAGTTAGACTGCTGTTTAAAATCATTATCTGCTCATTCCAACATTTCGGTCATCTCGGGCTCAGTCACTATTGATTGTCTCCTAATTCTGGGCTGCATTTTCTCTTTCTCTGTATGTCTATCGATTTTGAAATGCATCCTACACATTACAAATGCTATATTGAAGCGACTCTGGATTCTGTTATATTTCTCTAAAGAGCATCTGTCATCTGGTTAAGGGCAAGGTTTCTCTCAAGGTTTTAACCACCCCGCAGGTGTAGACCGTGGTCTTCAGTCTAAAAGACATAAAAAGGGGGAAATTCACCCAATGCCACCCCCTTTCCCCCCCTCTCTAATATCTGCCTGCTTCTGTTTACTCTCCAATGCCCTTAGGGAGTTATTCTTCATTTTGGTCAAAACTTACAGCTGTTCACTTTGGGAGAATTGGTTCCAAAAAAGCCAAAAATTACTAGAATTGAAATGAAGAAAGATCAAATGTGGAAATGGGAGCGAGATGTGGGCAGGAAATCAGGGGATTACTGGGATGACATGAAACGGAAGTAGTGAGGACCTGGATCAGGGAGAAGGCGGTGTAAAACTCGGGAAGGGAGGAGTCGTGGGGCCGCGGCAGGCCCCCTGGAGCTGTAGCACAGATGTTTGACATGTGCGAGTTCCACAAAACAGCACGTTGGGAAATCCACCTATGCACACTTTCCTGCCCTCTTTCACACTCTCCCCACACGCGTATGGACAAATTACCCTAAAAATTAACATCTATGTGCCTAGAAAAGGGACGCAGGGGGCCTGCAGGTGGCATGGTGGTTAAAGCACTGGATTCCCATGTGGATGGCCGTGGTTTTAGTCCTGGACCCACTGGCTTGAAAAATAATGCCAGCTGCATGTGCGTGCGTGCCCAGGATTCTGAGAGGAGAATGGAGGGTGGTTTCTCACTTTCCCTCTCTTTCTCCAGTGAGTGCACACACCCTATGGCAAAAACCTTTAAAAAAAAAAAAGGTGGGGGGAGTCGGAGTCAAATCCTCGGCTTTTGAACTTCCAGGAACACAGACCTGACCCTTTAAGGGAAAATCCATGGACCATTTAAGGGCAGTTAGATACAAAGGCTATGAGATATGATTAGTCAAAATGGCTTTAAGGGTTGTGCCTTGAGATTGGAAACAATGACGTTACCAGGAGAATTAGGGCGTCAGAAGCAGGTGCAGGTTGCAAGACCCGGCGGGAGGAGGGCAGCATTTTTGCACAGGTCGAGGTCAAGTTGCCCACTAAGTGCTGGCTAGCAGGGAGGGGCAGTTTCAGCCAGAAACGCTCCAGCTCTCTCTGAGGTAGATTTGGGAGTTACCTACACACGGGCGATCGCGGGAGCTGTGGGTACAGGCAGGACCACTACCTGGCCACGGCGTCTGTGAGAGAGAAGGAGAAACAGCAAATCTCACAGAACACTGAGGGGCTAAAACCAGGGACAAGCAACAGCAAGGCAGGAGGAAAACCAGAAAGACGGCGCGCACAGCCAAGGGAGAAGAGCGCAGGTCCGTGAGGTCAGAGACACACGGGGGATGAGAAGCAAAAAGCAGTCTCAGAAGAAAAGCCACAGAGGCAAAGGGACAGAGGGCTTGTTTGAGTGATCTGGGTGACAGAGTGACAACTGTCAGCACTGCCAGACTCGAGAGCCCAGTGGGCTCCAGAGAGACAGGAGTCTGGACAGGGAGGCGGAATTTTATCCTGTGATAGGGGCCAGGCCATCAGAGGATTTTGAACAAAAGAGCACTGTAATTGTATCGTGTTTTTCTTTCTGTCCCCCCCCCATAGGGGGTGCATAGACTGCACCCACTGGAGAGAGACAGAGGGGGAAAGTGAGAAATTGCCCCCCCAGGGGGATAGCCACTACAATCCCTTCCCTCCATTCTCCTCCTGGGATTCAGGGCACGTACACACACATACCCAGCATGATTTTCAAGTCACCAGGTCTGGGCCAGCCAAACCACAGTGGACCATGGGAGTCCAGCGCCTTCACCACCACGCCATCTGTCGGCCCCCGTTTTTCCTTTTTTCTTTTTCTTTATTCTTTTTCTTTTTTCTTCTTTAGCTTTGGCATGTGTGCTTGCTGGAGACAGAGAAAGAGAGAGAGAGTTCTCCACAGAGAGGAATGGCCACACCACAGTCCCTTCTCCTCCATCTTCCTGTCGGGATTCTGGGCACACATGCACACATGCCCCGCATGTTTCCAGGCTGCCATGTCTGGGACTCAGCTTATGTAGTCCGCCACGTGGGATCCAGCCACCCTAAGCTCATCACCTGGCCGACCATTAGCATCTTGTAGAAGGAGCACTGTGGCCCCGGGAAGAATATAGAGGTGGACGGGGCTAACCCAGAAGCATGAGTCCACGAGGAAAGCTTCTGCCAGAGGCCCTGGAAACAGCCCGCGGCCCAGTTAAGGCAGAGACAATGAAGAAGGCAGGAGAGCTGGCTATGGGCGGGTTTTGGTGTTTGGTGGACCTTTGGGGGTGGTGACAGGAGCACCAGCCGGCATTTACTGACTGCGTGTCTCCTGCCAGACACTGTCCTGAGTGAAAGCTGGGCCGGGCTTGGTCACCGATGGGCTTGGGGATGCAGAGGAAGGTGGAGGGGTGAGGGTGGGGAGCCTCTGGTCCGGGCAGCTGGCGGGGGCATCTCACTGAGCTGAGGAACCAGGAGGCCCTTGCCGGGCCAGAGGGGTCACTCGGGTCTCTCTCCAATTCAGCACCTCAGCGGGAAGCAGAGGGAATACGAGTTCTTGGGCCTGACCCCTGACACGGAGTTCCTTGGGACCATCGTGATCTTCGTTCCAACCTGGTCCAAGGAGAGCGCCCCCTACGTGTGCCGAGTGAGGACGCTGCCGGGTAAGTCCAGCTGCGGCCGACTTTCAAGTCTCTCTCTCTCTTTTTTAGTTTTTATTATTATTATTATTTTTAATTCGCCAGAGACAGGGAGGGAAAGTGAGAAAGCAAGAGCCAGGTCTGGGACTTGAAACCGTGGTTGGTCATGCGGGAGTCCAGCGCCCCAGCAGCCACGCCATTTGCTGGGCCCACAAGTTCAAGTCTTCCTGCGACCAAGGCGAGGGTTGGCATTGCTCTCGAAAGCACAGGGAGGTTACCCGTGTGTGAAGGCCAGCCGTTGTGTGTCCATAGCGGAGTTAGCGGTGGTTATCAAAGCCGTTTCCTCCCCACCTCCAGCCGGCGCCGGGATTTCCCCTCTGATGAGCTCTGTGTACCTGGAAAAGCACACTCACCTGGTGCGATATCCGGGGGGGAGCCTGCAGGGAGAGGGGTGCAGAGAAGATAAGAGGTCCCTCGTTTCGTCCAAAGTCTAACCGTAATGGTAATGGTGTCCGCAGCCACATAGGGGTGACGGGTGACCGGTGACGGGTGACGAAGCGCAGCCCTGGCCATGGTCTGTGAGGCAGGCGACCCTCCTCCTCATTTCACAGAGAAGGACGCAGGCTCAGAGTGGTTGAGTAACTTGCCCAAGGCCACACAGGCGAGGAGGGGGCGGCAGGGCTGGTCTCTCACCCCGGAGGCTGGAGGCCGTGTTCTCACCGCCATGCCACTGCAGGAACCGTGCTGAGTCACCTCCCCGTGAGGTGGTGTCTCCTGCGCACTCCCTCCAGCGTGTTGAAACCCGACTCCTCAGAGGCATCATGGTATTTTTACTAGTGTTTATTTTCGCAGAGTGCTAGACCGGTGGTGGCACTCAGGGATGTCAGGGGTGGTTCTGTCGCAGCCCGGCCACATCCGACCAGAGCTTAATCTGAGAGCCGGCACAATGGAAATGCAGAAGCCACAGAGGGGACGAGGAGGCACAGGGTGACACCAGCTCTCATCTGACAAGTGGGGACAGCAACGAACAGAGGCTGGACCCCAGGGGAATTGGTTCAAGTCCTCGGCGTTGTCCAGAAGCTCAATTCACCGGTTCCCAGGAGCCCACAGGAGGCTGTTTGCCCCTCGGGCCCCAGAGGGTCAGCTTGAGGGGAAGATGTGGCTGGTGGGACGGCTGGCACGGCTGGCACGGCTGCTTGCAGTCCCACAACCCTTCTCAGGACAAGGGCCACTAGAGAGGCGAGAACGAGGCGTGGCGGGGGGGAAACTAGAAAGAGAAACCAGCTTGGTGGGCACCTGGCAGGGAGCTTGGTGAGGCCCTCTCCCCGGGCCTAGCAAGCAGACCCACCCCGTGGTCGCCCCACTGCACCCTCTTTCCCACAGCGAGCAGCCCCACTCGCCACTGCCAGCCCGCGCTCACTCGTGGTGGGCGGGCCTTTCTTTCCAGGGCCACAGCTGCCTTGGAGTGCGTGACACTTCTTGGTGGCCACTGCTCCTGGCTCTCATACACGAGAAGGCAGCTGTCCTTAAGAACGTATGTTGGGACCAGCAGGTGGTGGGGAGGTTAAGGCGCTGGATCCCACAAGGCCAACTCCATGGTTTGAGTCCCAGTCCTGGTAGCTTGAAGACCACTCCAGGCGCTTGTGCATGCGTGCCCGAAATCCCGAGAGGAGAAGAGGAAAGGGGACTGGCATGGTCACAGCCCCCAAGGGTGGTTTCTCACTCCCCTCCCTCTCTCTTTCTGTTCCTCTGGAAAGCACACGTGCCCTGTGGCAAAACCTAAAAAGTAAATAAATAAGGATTATTGGTCCGTGTGTGCTAGTCCACGCAGCTAAGGTACTTTGCTGTGTAGGCTGGGGCCCCATGGGAGGCCCAGGTTCAATTCCTGGCTTAACCTAAAGCCTGACCATGGTGTGTACCTGCAGTTCCGGTGACTTGGGGAAGCTGACGCAGGAGGACTGCACCCTGGTGAGACCACCTTTAAAAACCCAGAATACATCTCTACCGCTTGCTTGGTGCTATCACATTGCCGAGCCCGGTGGTAAATGCTTTAGTTTTACAGACCGGAAGCTCTGGTGCAGAGAGGGTGAGCAGCTTGCCCAGGACCACACTGCTGGTTCGGTTCGCCTGAACTCAAGGGGTTCCAATCACCCTTGGCATCACTGTCCGCATCTGGCCCTCAACTTCACACTCATCCGTCTTCCTTCTGGGACAGTATAGCCTGACCTCGACCCTTATCCCGAGACCACCACGCCCCCAGGGCCCAGAACCCCCACTTGTCTGCCTCGGCTGTCAGGGACATGCACAGAGCACCATCCCAGCGCCTCAGTGTTCAGAAGGGTTCCACAGTCATCTTGCCACCTCCTAATTTTACAAATAAGGACACGAGGCGCCATCGTGTAGG